AGTAGCCCGGGTCTAGGGCCTGTGCGGACAATAACAGAGCCTGCAATGATGTTTCCCTCCAAAAGGGAGGAGGTACCGGTTGCTGGGAGGCCGCTGGCCTAGGAAGTCACCGCCCAGGAGGCCGGTAGGCCGCTATATCTTCAGGAAGAGCGGTGAGCTCTTCCTCATTTGCGGTATGCAAGGATTGGCGACATGCTGCTGGAGCGCAGYGCTGGTCTRAGGCAGCGCTGCTTGGAGGTGAWGGTCTGCTGGGGCTCAGCCTGGCTATGGCGAGCACCCCAGCTTGAAGGAGGAAGAAGGGGGACATGGTAGGAGAGTGGTAGGGCACTTACCTGGCTATGGTGGACACCGTCTTCATYACCTTGTTGGGCGCTGCATCTGGAAGSCCCCAGTTGGGGTAACGCTGCACCAGGGCAGCTCGAGGCAGAGTCAGGCATAGCGGACGAAGTCAAGCAGCGACATAGCTRCTTGGGGTTGTCTTTCGGGCATCAGGGCAGCATCATAGCTGCCTTCCAGTAGTCCGCCATGGCCTATGCTTGAGAGAAGAGGTTGAAGGAGGGAAGACATAGCCATGGTGGACTTGTTGTTGTTGTTGTTGTTGTGAGTTGAGTCAGCTGTAAGGGGGAACTTCGGACATTGATTCTGGTTCATCCATTCATTATTATTATTGACAGAAGAATAAGATTGGTGAAGAGGAGGAGGAAGGAGGAAGGTGGAGAGAGAAGGGGGAATTGTCATTGGTCTTGCTGGTGTACTACTTCTTCTTCTTCTTCTTCTTCTTCTTCTTCTTCTTCTTTACCTCTCCTCTGGTCTTTATCTCTTTGCAAGTGCTTTCATTTCTTTCGCAATTGGGTGGCATTGTCTTTCATTGTGAATTTGCACTTGGGAAATGACCAGGATCGTAACAGTTGGTTGAAGTGCTTCACTCTTATATATCGTCACAAACAGAACTGCCCGGTAAACCGTAGGCAGAGAGAGAGAAGAGGACAACAAACGAGGGGCTGTGAAAAACTGTTTCGTCGGAGTTTCACCGACTCATCAGGTATATATTTTATTTATATTTTATTTTTTTACTAAACATGGCATTTATACATGTATGTTTGGACTTGCTATTTATTATTTTCCTCTTTGTGAATGGAATAGCGAATATTAGAGCAAAACTCGTTGTGTACTGTGCTATTGTTCCTTTCTCTTCTTTTTTTGAAGCAACCAGGATAGGCAGCACACCAAGAATTTTCTCAAATAGCATGTGTCGAGAATGAGCTGGTAAGTCCTGATAAGGATATTGGGTCATGGAAGGACTGTCGTACGATGGCTTGCCATGGAGTTCCTTAGCACTACGTGCTATGCGTATTATGACACACACACACACGTGCTGACACAGTTGATGCAGCACCTACAGTAGCTGCTGCATTTGCAGCACACAAACACATAATCACATACACACACACGCACACACACACATACACCCCTGTGGCCGCCCACTATGGTCCCCCCCTGGGACCGGACGAAATGGCACCGGTACCGGCCACAGGAGGACGCGTTCGGAAGCCCCCTAATTTGCGCTCGGCTGAACATGTTCGGTTCCCTCTCGGCCGAGCGTCCGAACATGTCCGGATGCTCGGTGGGGCGCCGAACATGTTCAGCGTGCTATGCAGGTGTGGACAAATGAAACCTCAACTAACCCACATCATGCGACGTCACTCTGGTGCAAGCAAGGTTGGGCAAAGGGAGGGGTGTGAGGGGGGGGAGAGGGGGGAAGGAGAGGGGAGGAGAGGGAGGGGGAAACAAGAAAGATAGGGGAGGAGAGGGAGGGGGAAACAAGAAAGATAATGGAAACAAGAACTGCATCCAAAAAAAAATGATACGGGTACAGACTATACAGAGGAGAGCAAAATAAAGACGTAAGACGCTGCGGATGTTGTGAGGGGAAAAAAAAAAAATTCAAATCTCCTGGGTAACGTTGAAAAGTGGAACTTGAGGAACACTGAGCCTTAAAAACTGCTTTTAAAAAAAAAAGAAAACAAAAAGAAAAAGAAAAAGAAAAGAAGAGTCTTTAAACTGCTAGTTCCCAGCCTCAGCCTTGTGGTGACTTGCTCATCACATGCTCCGAACATTTCGTGCCTCGGGCCTATCAGACAACCATGGCTGGCGGCACTAGGGAGAAAAGAAAAAAACATCTGCTGATGGCCGTTCGGAGAAGCTTGGCGCACATTGCAGTGCCTCCACGCCCTGGTGTACTGGTGGTCAGCTGCCATTGGTTAGAAAAGGTTTTACTCTTACAGCACTAGTACCTTTCCCGCGTGAGAAAATAGGGAAAACTGGCAGCTTTCCCAAACTCCTGAATTTTCGGAGGTCGGGCCCGACGACGACTGCCATTGATAAATCTGATCGGCGGCCGTCGTTTCGTTTCGGTCTCTGAAAAGGTCGGACGCCTACCCGAGGCCCGCTATTTTCCCAAGCGGCAAAGGTACAAAAAAAAAAAAAAAAAGAAGAAGAAGAATGTGAGGGATTGACCCCTTGGCCGTGACATAAGGGGACCCCGCCAATAATGGTACCTGGGCGCCAGTTGGTTGAGAGGCGCAGCACGCAGTGTACCCAAACCTCGTGAGCCTTCTAGGCTCTTCCATGGGCGACGTGGAAGAAGGCCTTTCATCCAATCAGGATGCAGTGTGCGACGAAGGCCGCGTCGCACAGCTGGGCGTGACTAATCGGGCCCGGGCCATTATCTGAACCAGGCCTGGGCGCAGATTGTTTGGCCCGAAGCAAAGCTACTGGAAATCCACATGGCCAGGCCCAGCCAGTCTGAAGCAGCCAGCACTTTCCATCCATAAAGGAAAGTGCCAGCCACGAGTGAGGGCATTCTGGCCCTGGCAGAGAATGCAGCAGCGCTGCTAGTCCGAGTGCGAGGCCACTATCACGCCGGGCAGCTAGGCGAGGTAGACGGCGGTGGTGTATGCCGCTTGGAAGCAGCGGGTGCCAGCTTCCATAGCCGGGCAGCTAGGCGAGGTAGACGGTGGTGGTGATTGGTGGAGGTCCGCGGGAGAGAGAGAGCCTGTGTGGAGAGAGAGAGAGAGAGAGAGAGAGAGAGAGAGAGAGAGAGAGAGAGAGAGAGAGAGAGAGAGAGAGAGAGAGAGAGAGTCACGAACGGGGTGTGTGTGAGGACGTCTGCATTGGGTGACATCTTCATCTGCATCGAGTTGCTGCTGAGGTCTTCCTGGTTCCATCGTGAAGTGCTAGGCTAGTAATAGGTGCTCGGTGGTTGTCAACTTGTCAGATAGGATGCCATGCGCCGGATGGGAGAATCGACATATTGGGTTACCGATGGTGCTGGCGAGAGAAGAGGCTACATTGTTGACTGTATTCATTTCTTTTCTCTCATCTCATTTTGGTGTATGTGTTGTTGCAATTCTGCTTTCTGGTTTAGGGTTTAGGGTTTCAGACTATCTGGCATTCAATGGATGGTGATGCAACTTGGTTTCCGTGCTTCTCTTTCGCTCATTTTCCTTGCAAGAAGAAGAAGAACAAGAAAGGGGGCCCCCTATTTTTTTTCAGCGTAGGGTGTTTTCCCGTTTTGTTCCCAACACTCAGAAAGGTAGTGGTGGTTTAAACCACCAGTACTTCGCCCAGCTTGAAACAACACGTCATGGCTCTCGTTTGCTGCCGCATTCTTCGGGGTTCGGGGAAGGCCTGGTACCGCAACGGGGGGAACGGACGGCGGTGGACCAAACAAAAAAAAAGGCAAATTGACCAGCAGTATTCCGGCTGGTTCATTCCGTGCATGTATTTCCATTCGTACGGATGCAGGGAATCGCAGACAAGAAAAGAAAAAAAGGGCCGTTTTCTTTTTCCCTTTTTTTCCAAAAGAAAGGCCGTTTCTGATGTGAACTCCATGTGATATGGTTCTCACACAGCTCTTTAAAGAAGATTCAAGAAAGTGAAAAAAACAAAACGAAGAAAAAAGCGCATCCGACTGCACTTCTGGCCGTTACTATTAGGGAATACACGTAAATAAGGAACAACAAGAAAACGGCTCCGGCGTTCTGTTCCAGCTGCTGCCTGCAGGTCCAGCATAAAGGGTGGTACAAAGGAGTGTGGTTATGAAGAGAAAACAAAAAAACAGGAGCGTAGTGTACCTCTGGACTTGTTCTGACTGGCCTTAAAACCATCCGATGCTGTGACCTGTCAAAGCCAAGCCAGAAGGGTCATAACCAGAAGGGTGAGAGGTGTCAAAGGGGTCAGAGGGGCCACAAACCAAGGGGTTCAAACCCAGTGGGGTGACAAACCAGAGGGGTCACAAGGGTGACAAATCAGAGGGGTCACAAACCAGAAGCGTCAAAAACCAGAGGGGTCAGAGGGGTCACAAACCACCAGAGGCGTTCAGAACCACCAGAGGGGTGACAAACCAGAGGGGTGACAAACCAGAGGGGTCATAAACCAGAGTGGTCATAAACCAGAGGGGTCAGAGGGGTCACAAAGCTCCCTCCTCCTCGTTGCATCTTCTGCTTTCTGTATGTGGTCCCCTTCGTCGCCTTTGCAGTACCTGGGAGCCAGTTACAATTACTTCGACAATTACATAAAGACAAACGACAAGAATGTTTTTTCATTCACTTTTCAAACTACTTAAAAACCATTAAAAACTTTCAAAAACACCGTCACACATTGTAGAATACTTAGTGGGTCCAGGCCCCAGGCGAAAAAATAAATCAAAAATGAAAAAAAAAGGACACATATTTAAATGATGCAAGGAACATGAGTATGGACGAAGCACAGAAATCCAGAATGCAAAATCACACTGAAGTCCAAGTATTCAAAGCCAAAGCAGATAGCACATGGAACCGAGTAACCATCCCATTGAGAATGATACAGAAGAATCGTGAGTCAATGTCCATGCCCAACAGGGCAACACCAACAGCATAACCCAAATGTAGCTCTCTCTTGTGAATGGCGCCAGGCGCCCTATCTACTCTACAGCCTATCCTACAACTACAGCAATGAACAGCAACCAGACAACTTGACTACCAGCVAGTGAKRATGTCAACACCAATGCAGACCTCCACCATCACCAGGTACGTGTCCTCTTCCCCACACTCTCCCTTGTTACCCACACAGCGCCCTTCACCTCCGAAGTACCACCTTCGCCCTCACCTTCCCTGCACCCTCATGCGGCCCGGCTATGGCCGCCAGTGCCCTGCACGCAGGCAGCGCCCTACCGCCTAGCGCTGGCCTGCCCTGTCTTAGCGCAGCGCTGCTCTGCATAGCGCAGCACACTTGCATCTGCGCAGCATGCCCGCATATGCCAGCATTGGCCAAGATCCTTGCTGCCTCGCCCTGCTTGCCTATATGCCAGTGCAGCGTGTGGGCGGCCTCCCTTCAGCCTGTGACCGGGGCCCAGAGGCTGAAGCCAACTCGATACAGTTGGGCCCCGGGGCAATGCAGTTGCGCCTCCTTCATCAAGGCCTGCGGCCAGATTCAGACAGTGGGCCGATTTCCCTTTGGCATTTTCGGCCTCTCTACCCAGCATGCATTGTCGGCCTCACGTTCGAGTGCCCAGGGCCTAACTAACTCAGAGGCCCTGGGCATTTCAGCATTTGCTAAAATCCGAGACTCGGTGCACTCCAACCAACTGGCGTGCTGCAACTGTATAAACCCCACTTCGTGAAATGTTGGCACAGAGGGCTCTTGTTGATTTGCAGGCCCGCCTTCACTTAGGGCGGGCACTAGGCTTGCTGGGGCCTTAGCCCAGAAGATGTACATCATGGCAAGGCCCCTACTTGAGGGCTCAATCCTCACAATGATATTTTTTTAACTTTATTTTTCATTTTGAATTTGGCAAAGAATTTCAATCCAACCCTGTGATGTCTCACCCACCAACGGGACGACCTTCTTTTGTGAGGCCCTATTCCTGGCTTTTTTAAGGAATCTAAGGATCCTTCCTAAAAAACAAAGAAGAAAAAAAAGTGGCTCAGTTTATTTTTCTGCACAACACTAGGCTACCAGCCGGGCCGCCCGGGTCCCGGGTGGCCAGCCCGTGCAAGGACCAGGGAAGGTCCCAGAAAAAAAAAAAAAAAAAAAAAAAAAAAATCAAAAAAATCCGGAAAAAAACTATGTTATGCAGAAAAATAAACTGAACAACTTTTGCCTCAGGGTCACATCGAAATTATGCACCAAATTTAGGGGGGGAAATAAAATAAAATAAAATATTTTTATTTTTTTTATTTTTTTAATTGTTTTTGGCCCGGCCGGGCAAGTGACCCCGGGCCACTCTGGTAGCCTAGGCACAACATAGTTTTTTTCGGATTTTTAAATTATTTTTTACCTTTTCTTTCTTTCTTTTTTTTTTTTTTTTTTTTTTTACAGGGATCTTCCCTGGCCCTCGCAAGCCCAGGCCGCCTGGGCAACCACCAAGGTGGCCTGAGCGGCCCGGTTGGTAACACAGCTCAGGTGTGAATTTGGATAATTTGGGGCCTTGCTCCACCACAGCACATTGTAAATGCATGAAGACTGTATTCGGCCCCAGATTCATTCAGACTGACCAAACCTTTTTGGATGTAGAAGTGTTATGCTGAACGTCAATTCTTCGCTGCAATCGTTTTGTGTGGGAGCCTCTATGGAAAAGGGTGATACGACCTGTGGAATTTCGTCCAGCAGACACCTTTTTTAAACTAAAAGTTAATTGTTTGCTATTATTACATTGATTCCTTTTCATATGGGAAACTTGTATCTTTCTTTTACTAATTCATCTTTGTTTATGCTACTCACTATTAGTTTAGTTTTGCTTTTATTTCATTTTGTCACCATGAATGGAGGTCATTTAGTACCCAATGCTTGGCAATCTTTTGTTGAAATGATTTATGAATTCGTTCTAAACTTATGGTTGCACTTCGTGCCTAAAGAGAACCCAAAGGCAAACATGAAAAGAACTGCGGGAAAATCAACCTTCGCTTCGGGATTGGTTTCGGAGCTCCTGTGAACCCTCGGTCGACCACAATGAAGAGGAGCAAAGTACCTGGGTTCCAAATTCTCGTTTGCAGATGCGACCATGAAATCAAACGTTTGGAGGCCATCAAGGCTGACGCTCAAATTCGCTTTATGATAGACAAACAGGGCCATGCATTTTAAAAATAACGACGTGTATAGAGTCTTCTTTCAAAAACAAGTATACCAATCTATACTCAAAMACTCTTTCCAAAATGAAGTTAAAATACACAAAATCATTCAACTTATGAAAACTCGACATTGGTCAGCGCTGCGATTTGGTTATTATTTCGAAGTCTTTAATTTGATTTAAATTCAATAGATTCCTCGACTGTATTTATTGAATTGATTGTAATTGTATATATAATTGCTTTCTTAGAGGGAATAAGAGAAAGTCCTATCCGTCGCGAGAGCGGCGGCGTGCTCTACCAGGCTCTTCCGTTCTCCCGGTGAGCCAAAATAATGTTATATTCAGGGTTCGGGGGCCGAACACCTCCAGGTTCAGCCCCCGCCAAAAAAAAATTCAGGGCCAAAAATAAGTTTTTTTTTCTGATTTTTTTTTGTGAGTTCTCTATGATGTAACCTACACGCCTATAAATTCTGAAGCCATTCTGCTAAGCCAGAAAAACATAAAAAATCGTCAAAGATGGGGGTGTCAAAACGTGCTCGCCCACTCACTATTTTGTTTTTTGCACTTTTAACTTTTTGTTTTAACTTTATTTCGGGGCCTAAAACATTTTATTATTTTTTGAAAAAAAAATTAACGAGTTATTGATTATGTAAACTACATATCTGTAAATTTTCAGGGCATTTGTCAATGCCAAAAAATAATTAAAAATCGGCAAAGATAGCGGTGTCGAAAAGGTGCTGGCACACTCACTCATTTTAATATTGATTATGTAAACTACATATCTGTAAATTTTCAGGGCATTTGTCAATGCCAAAAAATAATTAAAAATCGGCAAAGATGGCGGTGTCGAAAAGGTGCTGGCACACTCACTCATTTTAATTCTCTTTTTATTTTTTCTTATTTTTATAAATTTCATGATTTTTTTCATAGTGTTTATTTTCTGTATATGATTTTTAATTCAAATTTGGTAAAGAATTTGGATGTAGTGCCCAGGCAAATGTTGTTTAGTTTATTTTTCTTCATAACATAGTTTTTTTTCGGAATTTTTTGAAAACTTTTTTTTTTCTTTTTTTTTTTTTGGTCCGCGTTCGGCCCGAACGGCCGAACGCCTTCCGAAGGGGTCCCGTACGTTCGGGCGTTCGGCCCGTCCTGAACGCCGGCAGCCCTGGTTACATTTTAATTCTTCCTGGATTTGGTATTATCAGTCATGTGGTTTCTACTTTTTCCAGAAAGCCTGTAGGAACCACAGTCCGGCCAAATACATTCAAAACTGACCGAACATTCAAGTCCAGCAGACACTGATGCTAGAAAAAAAGGACAGAGATAGGCCCGAATAGCAAAAACAAAAAGAAAAGGAGAAGGGGAGACGAAAGGGAAGGGGGAGTGGGAGCTGCATCCGGGGGTATGTTTTTTTTAACTGACGGGATAAAAGAAACAGGACGATATCCGCAAGGGGCCAAAGAATTAAAATGGGTTTGTTGAACTTTGTTCCCCCCCCCCCCACCAAAAAAAAAAAAAGAAAAAAAGAAAAAAAAGGGTTTGTTCCCACCTCAACCACAGCACAGTTGAAAAAAAGACAAACAGCAAAAAGTAAACAGACGTTAAGAAGAAGTTACCAGCGAATCCAAAAACTAGTGGGGACGTTCCACTGATGCGACAAACAAACACAGAATGATACCTGTTGCTGCTGCTCCTGTTGCTGCGCCAAGATGGACTCGAGCTTTTTGTTCTCATTTAATAACCATGATATCTCTTCATCCTTTGACTCCACCGTCGTCTCCATCATTTCCTTGAAAGACTGGAACTCAGTCTAGTGGTCACAGCAGAGGACAGCCACAGGAAGGAGAGACAGAGAGAGGGAGGGAGGGAAGGGGAGAGAGAGAAGGAACGGAGGGAGGGAGGGAGGGAACGGGGGAGGGAGGGAGGGAGGGAACAGGGGAGGGAGGGAGGGAGGGAAAGGGAGCGAGAGGAGGGAAGGAAGGAAGGGGAGGGGAGGAGCGGAGGGAAGAAGGGGAGGAGGGGAAGGACGGGAGGCAGGGAGGGAGGGAAGGAAGGAGGCAGGGAGGCAAGGATGGAGTGAGGGAGGGAGGGAGCAAAGGGAGCAAAGGGGCGAGAGGACAGGCAGGGAGAGGAAAGGGACGGATAGAATGAAGGAAGAAGCAAGGGAAGGGAAGGAAGGAAGGGCGAGAGTGGGAGGGGGGGGAGGAAGAGAGGACGCGAGGATGTGAGAGAGGAGGGAGGAAAGGAGGCAAGCAGGGAGGAGTGGAGGCAAGAAGGGAGGAGGGAGGAGGGAGGAGGGAGGAGGGAGGAGTGGAAGCAAGAAGGGAGGAGGGAGGAGGGAGGGAGGAGAGGAGCAGACGCAAGGAGGAAGGAGAGGAGGCAAGGAGAGAGGGGGGAGGGGGGAGGGGGGAAGATGTAGGGGGGAGGAGAGGAGGAAAAGGGGAAAGGAGGGAAGGAGGGAAGGAAAGAAGAAACATGGAAAGGAAAAAGGGCGGGAAGGGAGGGAGGGTAGTGAAGTCAAGGTAGGGATACAGTGATTAAAAAGGGTATTGACGTGAAGTAAGGGGGTGGAGAGTCAGAAGCATGGACAAAAAATGGTTGCTCCCAGAGGGCAAAAGGGTAGATAGAAATTGGGGTTGCTTGGAAACGGTAGTAACAGGCAGGATGAAAAGAATAATGAGAGGAAAAAGAGTTGAGAAAAAAGAGAGAGGACGCGTATCATATAACAAAAATAGACCCCGATGAGAAAAATGAGTGAGCATGGAAAGAGACGAAGACAGAGCAGAAGAAGAACAACGAAGAGAGTGAGAGTGAGGGAGTGGGAAGACAAAGCCCAAAATGAACACACCACGTCATCAGCTTGAGCTTGCAACGCTTAACAACAAATGTGGAGACTTCATGCGACAATTCAAGACAGGCGACAGTGAGAGGCACTCGCACCTGGAATCTGATGGAGACAGTTGGCAACTTAAGGGCTTCCTACTTGAGGGACAGCAGCCATTCAGCATCTACGGACGGCAAGTTGCTACTTCGTTCTTCAGCATAGCGTTATATGGGTCAGGAGGACCATATGAGAGGGAGGCGAGTTCTACTTCATCTCGAAGCTCACGCCACCCAGGTAAGTGCCGTGGACCTACGGGATGCCCATGTGTATGTATGCATGGTATTGTTGGTCCTGAGGGGGTGATTATGGGTTTCTTTCCTACTCTGCGGTCTTGATTGTGTGTTTGACTGCGTGAACTACTTACTCACCTGATGGATGGAGAAATGAAGTATCTTGCTTTGAATGACGAGTCCTTCTACAGTGCTTTGTCTTTTCATCTCTGAGCGGCTGTAGGCTGTAGGTTCTCTCTGAAAGTTGAAATTCGTTTTTCAGTACGGTAAAGGCAGAAAGTCGGTCCACGTGGGACTCCTCTTGGTTGGGAATGGGTCATGGTCTATGTGGGACCCTTAGGGACCCAATGCGACTGGGCCCAAGCAAGAAGGGCCCCTTAGACCCAAATCTGTTAGACATTGGTTCATTCTCTTTCTGACTGGGATCTGGAGTTTATTCTTTTGGTTAGGACACTCGCTGTCGAGCGGATCTTGGCTGAGACGTTTCACATGCTTTTTGCACTGTCCGTGGCTTGACTCGCACTTTGCACACCACTCAATTCTCTGTTGTTGCATGTCGTCACTCGTTGTCTGACTTGCTGTACATTCACAGAACTGGTCAGACTGGACTGGAGGGGATCTCGTATCCGGACTGATCATGTTGAGTCGCTGGATCAGATCTCTCATTTGATTTTATTTTATTTTTTTGGCTGCTGCGAGGCTGAAGCCCCGCTGAGCCCCCTTTCAGGCCCTACCATACAGCACGTCGGCCGCCCTAAGTGAAGGCAGGCTCGACAAGGGCCTGAGGGCCCTTATTTTGGTCACCACGCAACTCAGGACATTCAGGCAGTTGCGCAGCGCCAGTTGGTTGAAGGAACCCACACCCTGGACAGCGTGTGTGAATGTATCGAAGGCAGGCCATGGGTTGGATTCGGAATGTGGGCCTAACACAGGCCGTTGACAGTTGGGCGCGAGCAACCACTACAGGCCCAGGGCCTGAGATGTGCGGACTGGGCCTCAGCCTACCGGGGCCTACCGGAAGCTTCTTGGGAAAGGCCCAGCGCAGCCTGGGACAGCAAGCAGGCAGGCCACTTCCATAGAGCAAAGGGCCTGCCTCCGCATTGGGCATTCGGGTGCTGGCTGCATGCTGCGCAAGCGCTGCTGCGCTGAAGCTCGCTGGCACTCACGCGCTCACGGGCGAGTAGGAAGGAGCAGGCATTCATAGCCGAGCTGCGCTGCTGTAAGCTGGGTGTGGCGCAGGGTGGTCCTTGGGTGCATGTGGCACCTGTGTGTTGGGGAACGAGGGTTGTGAGTGAAGCGAGAGACATACCTGGTGCTGGAAGCGTGTGGCATTGGCCGCTATCTGCTCGTACTTCGGTGAAGTTGTTGTCGTCATCTTCGGCATTGTAGTATAGGCTAGATACTGCAATCAGATTCGTTTTCAAACACACTTTTCACACATGTAAACAGTAACGCAGCACACTGGCGACATGCGCCCACTCAAAACTCAGAGATATGGCTGCAGATACGAGTTCACTCTCAAATGGCTATGGCGACTTCAGCGCCCAAACATYTCACTGTTCACATACACTGGATCACCCTGGATATCCCACACGCATCACTCTAACACTCGA